TTAATAAATGGGATTGCATGAAATTAAAAAGCTTCTGCACACCAAAAGAAATCAGCATCAGAATGAAAAAGGAACCCACTGTTTGGGAAAACATATTTGCCAATGATACATTGAATAATGGATTAATTACCAAAATTTATACTCATATATTTCAACAAAAAGAAGACAAACGATCCCATTAAAAAATGAGCAGAGGACTTGAATAGACAGTTCTCCAAACAGGACATATAAATGGCAAAGAGATGTGAAAAAATGCTCATCATCACTAATCATCAGAGAGGTGTAAATTAAAATGATTATGAGGTGTCACCTCACACCTGCCAGAATGGCCACCATCAACAAATCATCAAACAACAAGTGCTGGTGAGGATGTGCAGAAAAGGGAACCCTAGTACTCTGCTAGTGGGAATGCAGACTGGTGCAGCCACTATGGAAAACAATATGGTGTTTCCTCAAAAAATTAAAAATGGATGTAACATTTGACCCAGTGATCCCACTTCTAGAAGTCTATCCCAGGATGCCTGAAATACCAGTCAGGAAGAATATATACATCCCTATGTCATAGCAGTGCTATTTGAAATAGCTAAGATCTGGAAACAGCCCAAGTGTCCATCAGTAGATGAGTGGATAAAAAAGCTCTGGTACATTTACACAATGGAATACTACACAGCTATAAGAAAAAAAGATCTCTTACCTTTTGAAATGACAAGGAGGGACCTGGAGAGCATTATACTAAGTGAAATAGGCCAATCAGAGAAAGACAAGTATCACATGGTCTCACTTATTTGCTGAATAAAATGAACAAAATAAGTCGACAAACAGAATATATGCAGAGAGATGGAAGTAGGGAATAGACTGACAAAACTCAGAGGGAAGGGGCTGGGGGTAGAAAGAAACAAACCAAAGAACTTATATGCATAACCAATAGACACAGTGCAGTGAAGGTGGTGGGGAGCAGGGAGGTGGGTGTCAATAGGGGGAAAAATGGTCATCTGTAATACTTTCAACAATAAAAAAAAGTAGTCAAAAAATCTCAAAAGATGATAGTGATATGTAATAAAGATGAATGTATTGATCAGTATTGAATGTCTGTTCTATCAGTGTAATTTACAAGATAAATGACTTCCAGAATAAACCAAAGCATTTCCTTGCTGCTTCCAAATAATTAGCACCAGTGCCTAAGTATTCCGTAAATACTTACTGGATGACAAGTAATTCGTGGGTAGGGGGATGAGGCATCAAAGGGAAGTAGTGCAAGATTTAATAGTAGTACACAAGACGAGCATTAGCATAATCCTTTGAAAGAGCAGTATTTTTATAATTGACTGTTTTAGGCATGGGACCATGTTCCATTTTCCTTAAAAGTCTTTATTCTGGTCACCAACTCTTCTTTTGAGAAGTCAGGTTTTTTTTTTTTTTCTTTTTAAACTTATCTTTATTGTTGAATGTATTACAGATGTCCCCCCTTTTATCCCCCACTGATCCTCTCCTACCCGCTCCCACCCCCCTCCTGCCTTCCCCACACTACTGTCTGTGTCCATTGGTTATGCGTATATGCATATGTTATTTGCTTTATCTCTTCCCATCCTCCCTCCCCCTTTCCCTTTGAGGTTCATCAGTCTAACAACCAATCTGTATTTCTTAATTCTTCACATTTTTCACTCATCATCCCAGCCCCCTCCCATCTAGCAGCCAACAAAAAGTTCTCTGTGAGTCTGTTTCTGTTCTGCTTATTCATCTTGTTTGTAGATTCCGTTGTTGATAGATATGTATTTATTGCCATTTCATTGTTCATATTTTTGTTCTTCAAGAAGAGCTGTCAACATTTCATATAATACTGGTTTGGTGGTGATGAACTCTGTTAGCATTTTCTTGTCTGGGAAACTCTTTATAATGTCCATCAATTCTAAATGATAACTTTAAAGGATAGAATAATCTTGGTTGTAGGTTTTCTTGCTTTTCATCGCTTTGAATATTTCTTGCCACTCCTTTCTGGCCTGCAAAGTTTCTTATGAGAAATCAGCAGTCTTATAGGAGCTCCCTTGTAGGTAACTAACTGCTTTTCTCTTGCTGCTTTTAAGATTCTCTTTGACTTTAACTTTGACATTTTGTTGATGATGTGTCATGGTGTGTTCCTCTTTGGGTTCATCTTGTTTGGGACCCTCTATACTTCCTGGACTTGTATGTCTGTTTCCTTCACCAAGTTAGGGAAGTTTTCTGTTATTATTTTTTCAAATAGATTTTCAGTTTCTTGTGCTCTCTTTTCCTTATGGCACCCCATAATGTGAATGTTGGTGCGCTTGAAGTTGTCCCAGGGGCTCCTTAAGCTATCCTCATTTATTTGGATTCTTTGTTCTGATTGGGTGTTTTTTGCTGCCTTATATTCCAAATCAATGGTTTGCTTCTTAGCTTCACCTACTCTACTATTGATTCCCTGTAAATTATTCTTTATTTCAGTTATTGCATTCTTCATTTCTGACTGGTCCTTGTTTATGTTGTTGATGTCCTCACTAAGTTCCTTGACATTCCCACTAAGTTCCTTGAAATACTCACTAAGTTCATTGAGCATCCTTCTAGCCAGCATTTTGAACTCTGCATCTGTTAGATTGCTTATCTTCATTTCATTTAGTTCCTTTTCTGGAGTTTTGTTCTCTTCTTTCATTTGGGACATGTTTCTTTGTCTCCTCATTTTGGGTGCTTCCCTGTGTTTGTTTCTATGTCTCCTAGTCTTTGTAGGGTGGCCTATTGTAGTAGGTGAACTGTAGGGTCCAGTGGCACAACCTCTATGGTCACCCTAGCTGAGCCCTTGAGGTGTACCCCACGTGTGGACTGTCCAGCATCTTGTTGTAATTGAGTCTTGATTGCTGTTGACATGTCAATGGGAGGGATTTACTCAGGCTGATCAGCTGAAAGGACTGACTGTGCCCACTGACCACTGGCCTCTTACTACCTTGGAGGATCAGCTGTACAGGGGCCCACCACACAGAGCAAGACTTACTTCAGCAGAGCTCTGGTACCCACTGAATCCACTCATTTAGTGTGTCACTTGTGGAAGTGGTTGAGTGATGGTGCTTTGACATGTTATGAACCTGTCCACAGGGTGTGCTGGCTCTGGAGCAAGGTCAGCCTCTGCATGTGTTCTACCTGGGACCACGAGGCATAAGCTACAAAGCAATCTAAAGATGGCTGCTTCTTGTTCTGGGCTTGGAAGTGCCCAGGCAAAGCTAAGCTGTGAACCAAGGCTGGCTGCTTCTAGTGCCAGGCCTGGGGCCACTTAATGATAGGTATGGGACTCGCTGAGGCCGGGTGCTGCTAGTTTGAGGAAAATCTGAAGCAACACAGGCCAATCCTATGGTAAAGGCACTGGAAACAGCTTGGGTGGGCCTGAAAGTTGTGTAGGACAGGGCCTTAGGGAATCACCAGGGTGGGGCAAACCATGTGAGCCAGGTTGCTGGAGTCCCAGATATGGCACACGTCTGACAGCCCTGTGCCTTTGGTGAGGGAAGGGCTCACCAAAGGAACAGTAGCCCGTACCATGTCTGTCAGGGAGAAAGCTGCCTCTCCAGCTCTCGTTCCAATGCCAACCAACTCAGTTCTTCCCCGTATGCCTCTGGTGCATTTCAAACTGCCTTCCCCAAACTGGAGCCTGGAGGGAACAAGTCTGAGTAAGTCCGAGCGTGGGCCGTTTAAGAGGAACTGCCTGAGTCTCCCTCAGCCTCAGTTCCCACTGGTTTTTACAGCCAGAGGTTATGGGGACTTTTCTTCTTGGCACAGTAACCCTGAGCTGGGGGCTCGTGTGGGACAGGGACTCCTCACTCCTCAGGGAGGAGTTTCACAGCCGAGGTGTCCCTCCTGATTTTTATCTGCCACACGTGGGTGTGCGACTAGCCTGTCTGCGCCTCTGCCCCTTCTACCACTGTTGATGTGGCTTCTTTAATTTAGTAATTGTAGGACTTTCATTCAGTTCGATTTCAGGTGGTTCTGAATGATGGTTGTTCTGTACTTTAGTTGTAATTTTCATGTGGTTGTGGGAGGAGCTGAGTACCGCCATCTTAACTGGAAGTCCTTAGAAGTTAATTTATTTTGTTTTGGTTTTGGTTTTTATTCATTTATTTTTGTTACAGATGTTTCTCCTATTTCCCCCATTGGCACCGTCCTCCCCATCTCCCCCGCCCCATCCCCAGCTTTGTTGTCAATGTCCATCAATTATGCGTACATGCATACAAGTTCTGTGGTTTCTCTCTTCTCTCCCCACCAACCCCTCTTCTGAGGATTGTCAGTCTATACCCTACTTCTATGACTCTGGGTTTATTTTGTTCATTAGTTTGTTTATTTCATTATATTCCAGAAATAAGTGAGATCATGTGATATTTGTCTTTCTCTGCTTGGCTTGTTTCCCTTAGGATGATACTTTCCAGGTCCCTCCATGTCGTCTCAAAGGATAAGAGATCTTTCTTTCTTATAGCTGCATAGTACTCCATTGTGTATATGTACCACAGCTTTTTTATCCAGTTGTCTACTGATGGACACTTGGGCTGTTTACAGATATTAGCTATTGTAAATAGTGCTGCTATGAACATGGGGGTACATATATTCTTTCTGATTGGTGTATCAGTCTTCTTAGGGTATATTCCTAGAAGTGGGATCACTGGGTTAAATGGCAATTCAATTTTTAACTTTTTGAGGTAGTGTTTTCCATAGTGACTGAACCAGTCTGCATTCCCACCAGCAGTGTACTAGAGTCCCCTTTTCTCCACACCCTCGCCAACACTTGTTTGATGATTTGTTGATGGTGGCCATTCTGATAGGCGTGCAATGATACCTCATAGTTGTTTATTTAGTATGATATATTTGACATGACCATCGGCTAAAAGCACTATTCTCATTTTTAATTTACAATTAAATTGTTTCATAGATGTGGCTAGAGAATATTGCTGTGAGTTTGCTTTTACATAAAATCCTTATTTTCATAACTGTATATTACTTCATGTTATTCTCAGGTATTTGTTACTAGCAGTGGAAAATACAATGAACTTGGATATCCATTTGGTTATTTAAAAGCCAGTACAACTTTAACTTGCGTAAACCTTTTTGTGATGCCCTACAACTACCCAGTTTTACTTCCTCTCTTAGGTAAGTAAAGTATGTCTTATCGAATCATCATTAAAATATAACAAAACATACACGGCGGGCTTAGCACCTTAAATGTAGTCAAAGAGTAATTGATATCTAGATATATAAAAGTCTAAAAACTGATTTGAAAGGATAGAATTTGCATACTGTTTTCTGTTTTGTCTTCTCTTTGTTGTTGTTATATCAAATAGAGGAGACACTTAACCTCTGATATGTGATTCTAATGCTGTTCTTTAGGTTGCAAGGTCCAATGCTGTCATCCTACCCCCTAAATCACAGTTTTAAGTGGCTTTGCCTTTTTCATAGACTAGTTTGAGCAAAAAAATACCATTGTTTGGGATTAACGCTCCAAAAATATGATAGTTTTCCTCAGAAAATAGGGCTTCTAATGAGGGTATTAGCTCACACAAATTGTTCCACAAAAGAATATTCAATCCTCTTGAGGCATCTGTTTTAGGTAGGGTAGCAAGTTATGGCAATGAGTACAAAAGTAGATTCTGCAACAACTGTAGTTGTAGAAGCTGTGGTTTCCATGGCAATATTCTAAAAGGAATAACTCCAGATGTTGTTACTCAGATATCACCGAAAACATGTATAGAGATTTTTTTTTTCTCATTTAAAAGCCGCATCTATTTAGAGTAATATAATACCACATATCCTTCTAGTTGTAAAGTTGTGAACATTTTTATTTTGCTTACAGTAGTGTTTTGTGTGTGCGTGAACATTTTTATTTGGTGGAGTTTCATATTTTTGCAAAAGGGACCAAATTTTTACTGAGTTTTATTTTACTATAGTCATTAAAGCATAATATTTTTATTATGATAAGTGCAATAAATCAGAGATAGACAAATATCCTATTATTTTACATATATGTGGAATCTAGAGCACTAAACAAACAAAACAGAAGCAAACTCATAAATACAGAGAAATTTTTATTTTTTCATTTTTATGGTTGCCAGACAGATGGGGGCTAGGAGGTTAGATGAGAAAGGGGAAGGGATTAAGTTTTGTAAATCGCCAGTTATAAAAACTGTCATGAGGAAAGAAAGTACAGCATAGGAAATATAGTCAATAATATTGTAATAGCTTTGTATGGTGTCAGATGAACACTAGACTTATCAGAGTGATCACTTCAAGTTATATAAATGTCTAATTAGTATGTGGTACACCTGAAACTAATATAATATTGTATTATGTCAACTGTAATTGAAAAATAAAAATTATTGAAAAAAGCATAAGATTTTTTAGTGCTGTAAGTACTATGTGTACCAAAAAACAATTCTTTTAAAAGTTGCAAGTTAAGGTTAAGAATGGGTTATTGCCCTGGCCAGTTTTGTTCAGTGGTTAGAGCATTGGGCCATGGACCTAAGAGTCACGGGTTCGATTCTGTTAAGGGCACGTATCTTGGTTGCGGTTTGGTCCCTGACCCTAGTTGGGGTTGTGCAGCAGGTGACCGATCAATGTGTCTCTTTCACATTGATATTTCTCTCTCTCTCTCACCCCCCCCCCCACTCTGTCTGAAGATAAATGGAAAAATATCCTTGGGTGAGGATTAAAAAAAAAAAAAGAATGGGTTATCACAAAGATATTAGCATGGTTGTTCTGTATAGCCTATCTACTTTATTTCTTAGTCTAATCTAAAAGTATCCTCTACAAGGTGATTGTCACTGATTACATATAGGTTATGTCTCTGAGATTAATGACTACCAACAAAAACTACCTATATTTTGTGGATTTACTTACCTTTTTTCTTAAATATACCTTTATGACCTCACTTTTCACTATTATACAGTGAAGGATTAAACTAGATAATCTTTACTTAGACTGTAAATAGTATTATTTTTTTATTTTAAGTACACTTTTTTATTGTGCGATAATTCTAGATTCACATGCAGTTGTAGGAAATAAAAAGAGATATGACACCAAAAGCACAGACAACAGAAGCAAAATATACATGTGGGGCTACATCAAACTTAAAAACTTTTGTACATCAGAGGACACTGTCAACACAGTGAAGAGGCAGCCAATGGAATGGGGAAAATTTACAAATTATCTATCTGGTCATTTTTTGGGGGGAGGTCCATGTTCTGTTATTCCTATTGGTTGATTTTTATTGTTCTGTTTTCTAGTTCACTATTTCCTCTATCCCTTCCATTCTGCTACTTTTTTTTTATCCTCACTGGAAGACATTTTTGCATGTATCTTCAGATAGAGTGGGAGGGAGAGAGGGAGGAAGAGAGAGAGAGAGAAATATCAGTGAGAGAGACACATCGAGTGGTTGCCACCCACATGACCCCCAACCGGGGCCGGGGACAAATTGCAACCGAGGTACATGCCCTTAGCGGGAACCGAACTTGGGACTCTCCAATCCACGGGCCAACGCTCTAACTGCTGAGCCAAACCAGGGCCCATTCTGCCTCTGAGCCCACCCATTGAGTTTTTTCTTTTGTTTATTGTATTTTTCAGTTCTAAGATTTCCATTTGGTTCTTCGTTATATCTTCCACTTCTCACTTTCTATTTCTTTGCTGAGGCTTTCTATTTTTTCATTTTTTTCAAGTGTGCCTATAATAGGTTGTTGAAATATTTACTGTGCTAGGTTCTTTTAAACCTTTACTAAATATTTTTAACATTTCTGTCATTTTGTTGTTGGTGTCTCTTGATTGTCATTTTGAATTTGTTTTGAGATCTTCCTGATTCTTGGTACTGTGAGTGATTTTCAATTGAGACTTGAACATCTTCAGTATTATGAGTCTCTGGATCTTATTTAAATCTTCTGTTTTAGTTTGCTTCCTCTCACACTCCTCTGGCAGAGATTTTGAGGTACTGCCTCATTAGTACCAGGGTGGTAGAAGTCCAGGTTCCCCACTTGGCTTCTGTTGACACCCAAAAGAGGTGGCTTCTTGTTGTTATTGCTGTGCAGGAATAGGAGTTATGGTCCTTAGTAGAATGATACCTCCCTGGCTTGGAGAAGTAGAAGTTCCTCGTTACTCCTTCCCACATGGTCTCCACTGACACCATAGGGGTGGAGGTGGCCTCATTACCACAGGGCAGTGGAAAAGTTCTGATCTTTAGAACTATAATGGGCTGAATTCCAGTATTTCATCTTTGGTCTAAACTCATCCTGCCTTCTACCCTGGCCAGCTTGGTTCAGCGGTTGAGCATTAACCTGCGGACTAGAGAGTCCCAGGTTCAGTTCCCGCTAGGGGCACGTACCACAAAACATAAATAAATAAATAAGCTCATCCTGCCTTCCAGATTATTACATGATAATGCCCTTAACTAGAGTAGCTGGTCTCCCATCATAAATTGAGATATATAGCACTTGACAATAGCAAGACTCACCCTCTAAAATTGGTCTTTGCTGGTCTTATAGGTTACAGTGGTCAGATGTAGACATGGCATAATGGTTAAAAGGAAGCATTGAGTTCTTTCTTTGCCTCAAACCTTCTGTGCCTAATTTGCCACATTCCCAGGCTCCATAATAGTATATAAAGTCAAATCCTGACACTGTTTTCCTGATTACTTCTTAGACTGTATGACTCTATTCCCCAAATGCCATGTTATCCTTCTTTCTGAAATGTCTTCTAACACCAGAAAGACACATGTGGCATTTGTTCCTGGTCCTCCTTAACCTACAACACTGAAAATCCAACCCTGCCTAGAGAAAATATCCCAAATCAGAAACTCCAGAGGAATCTTTGATTCCTCCCCACTCCCTAACTCCATATATTAATTTCAGGGCCATCATATCCTTGACTCAGTTCCCATTCTTCCCTTTTGCTTCAAAAACCCATTTCCAGGCTTTTTTATAATGTGTCTTCTAAGAAGCATGGGATTTTTCACACCCTTTGAGGATGAAGGTCCTTGTGCCCATGAATCCCAAACTTGGATTTCATGTTGAGGTTCTAAAATAGACACTCCTTGCATTTCTACCATTACTTCACTTTCTGGGTTGTGTAGTTTCCATAGTGCTTAACAGTGTGGATTGTAGGGCATAGCTACTCTGGTATGAATCCTCGCTCTCCTGTTTGCTAGATTTGTGACCTTGGATAAGATACTTAACCTCTCTGTGCCTCAGTTATTTCATCTGTAAAGTGAAATAATGATAATACCCACCTTAAAGGGATTTAGTTGGGATTAAATTAATATAGTGAATTGCACAGAACTCACCTGGCAAATAGTAAGTGCTCAATAATGCTGTTAGCATTATTATCATTATTGTCATTATTAACAACTATGTTGCCTAAGTAGCTCTTGAAGGCACTATTTTATACTAAAAATATAATATAAAGATACAGGATGTTTTTGTACTTTTAGTGAGCAGGGCATTTAGTAAAAAGGCAAGTTAAGTCACATATACTTTATAATGCCCAGAAACATCACTGTATTACTTCATAGTACAATGATTGTCCAAAAACGTAACCTTTGTTTCTTTATCAAGATTTCCATAAAAATTAGGTAAAGGTTTAATTATTTAAGCACCAAACTTACCTGGGATAGATAAGTGAGGCTTAATTGGATCAATGAACTACCTTAAGAATCATGTTAGTAGGGCGGTAACCAGATTATCATAGTTGGCAAGAAGACTATCTCTGAATTAAGAAATTAGGATTTTTGCAAAACAATGAAACTAGACCATCAATTTACGCCCTACACAAGAATAAACTCAAAATGGATAAAAGACTTAAATGTGACTCATGAATCCATAAAAATCCTAGAAGAAACTGTAGGCAACAAAATTTCAGACATCATACGCAGTAGAATTTTCACTGACACATCACCTAAGGCAATAGAAACAAAGGAGAAAATGAACACATGGGACTGCATCAAACTCAAAACCTTCTGCACAGCAAAAGATACAATCATCAAAATGGAAAGGCTACCCACTGTAAGGGAGAGCATAATTGCCAATGATATATCAGATAAGGGGTTAATTTCCAATATATAGAGAGTGCTCATACAACTCAACAAAAGGAAGACAAAGAACCCAATTAAAAAATGGGCAGAGGAACTAAATAGACACCTCTCCAAACAAGACATACAAATGGCTAAGAGACATATGAAGAAATGCTCAACATCACTACTCATCAGAGAGGTGCAAATTAAAACAACAATGAGGTATCACCTCACACCCGTCAAAATGGCCGCTATCAACACATCATCAAACAAGTGTTGGTGAGGGTGTGGAGAAAAGGGGACTCTAGTACACTGCTGGTGGGAATGCAGACTGGTGCAGCCACTATGGAAAACAATATGGTGTTACCTCAAAAAATTATAAATTGAACTTCCATTTGACCCAGTGATCCCACTTCTAGGAATATACCCTAAGAAGCCTGAAACACCAATCATAAAGAATATATATACCCCCATGTTTGTATCAGCACTATTTACAATAGCTAGGATCTGGAAACAGCCCAAATGTCCATCAGTAGACAAATGGATAAAAAAGCAGTGTACATATACACAATGGAGTACTATGCAGCTGTAAGAAAGAAAGATCTCTTATCCTTTGAGACTACATGGAGGGACCTGGAAAGTATTATCCTAAGCGAAACAAGCCAAACAGAGAAAGACAAGTATCACTTATTTGTGGAATATAATGAACATAACAGTCTGAGGAATGGGGTAGTCCCAGAGACGTGGAAGTGGGGTACAGACTGACAATCCCCAGAAGAGGGGGTAGTGGGGGAGAGATAAACCACAGAACTTATATGCATGTATGCATGAACAATGGACATGGACAACAAAGCTGGGGACAGGGCGGGCAGGGAGGAGGAGGATATCAGTGGGGGGGAAATGAGAAACATCTGAAACAAACATAAATTAATTAATTTAAATCTAAAAAAGGAAATTAGGATTTTTTGTTTTATTTTTGAGGACCAGTAACTACAGAAATTAAGGCATCTATGACAACTTTTTTTTTCTTAAACATACCACATTCAATTAACCTGGTGTTGTTTTTAAATTAAGAACTACGGAGTTGTGTAAAAAATAAAATCTAGTTCCACATTTAGACCAGGAGGAGCAAAAGAGAATAAATGAAGGAAGATACTTTGATGTGTATTAATCACTATATGTTCATTGCTTTACAGCTTGCACTGTTTTTTATTTTATACAGTGTTTTCATGCACAGAATCTACTTCTCATAATAAGCTTGTGTGGTAAGGCAGTTATCATTAAATCTATTTTATAGATGGAATGAAGGCACAAAAAGGTGAAGTAATTTCTCAAAGCTCATTCAGCTAATAATGTGGCTGATTTTGGACTGAAACCCATGTCTTCCTCCTCTTTGAAGCAGGAAATAGGGAGAAAGGATCTGAAAGAGAACATGTTAGTAGTTGTGTTTTTTTTTAATATTTAAAAAAAATTTTTTCAGTATTGATTTTAGAGAGAAAGGAAGGAAGAGGGAAAGAGAGATAGAAACATTAATGAAAGAGAACATCAGTTGGCCTCCTCCTGCATACCCCATGCTGGGGATTTGGCCCACAACCTGGCATGTGTCCTGACTGGTGACCTCTTGGTGCATGAATCGATCGATGCTCAACCACTGAGCCACAGTGGCTGGGCGCATGTCAGTAGTTTTTGAGATGTTGGCAGTATCATTTTAGTCACCTTCTACAATCACTTCCTTGTCTTTCCAATGTTGATTAGCTAATTGTTTATGGCATCTTTACTATACCCTCTTAGAGACTCCATATGAATGGAAATTTAACACCACGGAAATAGTTTTCTGAGCTATAGAGATAGTTACTAAAGCACTGTCACCCAAATAGATCTCTACCCTTAATTTAGATTGTGGAAGGTTTTCTTTCTTCCTCCCATCCACTTCAAAAAATCGACAAGAAATAATTAGACTAAACTGGCTCCAAGATGGAATCATTGCAATCAGCATTGTTGGAAATATTAAGACTATTATTGACTGTCATTATCTAATCTGTTTATATCTAAATGTCTCTCCAGATTTTTGGTATTTAAATCTGTCAGTTAGTTTCCAAAATCTGCCTGATTTCCAACAGACTTCACTTAAAGACAGTATAACAGGGTATTTCCATGGTCTCTCCTGCCTTTCTATCAAAATATGAATGTTCTCTAAAAGACCTGTGTGCTACAATGAGCCAGTAGTCTCTTCAGATATTTTTTCTTTGTTCTTTTTACCCTGTTCGAAAAGAAAAAGAAAACCTACATTTTATGACTTCATAAATTCACTGAAATTAGTTTCAGCAGGAGTGAATCATTCATTATAGAAGTAAAAGGAAGAAAATACATGGCTGCTTTTCTTAACTAAAGTTCATTCAGAATTTCAAAGAACAGCCCATTTGTAGAGAATGTATGCACATGGCAAAGGAATGGTCTTGTCATTGGAGGTAAGCATTTGTTTTTGGATAAGAGCCAATAAAATCTGAAGAAACAAAATAGAGATTGAATTTGTATTATCTTCGGTATTTATAGTAAGTGTGGCAGGTTCATGTTGATGTCTAGGGATATCAATTTTGAATTATTATATTAGAAAAAAATATTTTTTCTTACCCTCACAAGGAAATAATGAGATATTTTAGAAATTTTTATGTGGTGTATGTAATGCATTTAGATTACTAAAATAATTATTTTTATGTGTGAAAATATAGGGGTATCTGCTTATCTAAGGAAAATATCTTTAGTTGTATTAAAGCACATGGTATTCAAGAAACATATTTAGTTGTGCAAAATTTAAACTTCAACCTAACATCTCTACTTGTTTTTACTAGTACCATCACCCAATTTTTAAAAATTATTTTTTATTTTTCAATTACAGTTGACATACACTATTATATTAGTTTCAGGTATACAACCCAGTGATTAGACATTATATAACTTACTAATTGATCATCCCAATATATCTAGTGCACAATATATAGTTATTACAATATTACTGACTATATTCCCCATGCTATACTTTACATCCCCATGACGATTTTGTAACTATCAATTTGTACTTCCCTTCAACTGTTTCACCCATATCTCCAATCCCCCTTCCATCTGGCACCCAGTTGTTAACTAATATTTGAGAAACTCAAAGTTTGGCTTAAAATGCCTGACCACTGAAATCAAAGAAATGAGGAGGGGCGAAATATGGCTAACAGAGTATAAGTTGATTGTGGAGAATCCAAAACATAATTTAGAGCTTGTCATCATTACCTAGAAATGAGAGGCTTAGCTTTTGTTCTCATATACTTTGTGAAGTCTATTACCTTGGCCTTTCAGCAAAAAGTATAACACTATTTATGTATGTATTTGTTTATTTATTATTGAAATATAATTGATATATAACATTATATTAGTTTCAGGTATACAACATGGTGATTGAATATTTGTATATATTGTAAAATGACTACCACTGTAAATTTAGTTAATATCCATCATTATACATAGTTACAAATCTTTTTCTTACAATGAGAACTTTGAAGATCTATTCTCTTAGCAACTTTCAGATATGCACTACAGTATTATTAACTATAGTCACTGTGCTGTACCTAATATCTGCATGACATTTATAACTGGGAGTTTGTACTATTTGACCACCTTCAGTCATTTTGTCCACCCCCCACCTCACCCCCACCTCTGGCAACTACCAGTCTGTTCTCTGTATCTATGGTTTCAATTTTGTTGTTGTTTTTCACATCCTCTATTTGATCCATCAACCAGTGACCATGGATTCCCCGTCAGGTGGAAATTACTACAGTAGAGTTACCAATATGTAAAAGGTAAAAAAAAAAATCACGTGGATCAGAGTTAGTGTTGTAACATTATATTTTGTTTAGCTTCACAGACAAAAGAGAAATATGTAACTTGAGAATTTATTTCATTTTCTGAAAAAATACTGTAGATAATTTTGGTAAGTAGTACCAAAAAAAGATAATCAAACTCCAATGAAAGGTTAATTCAATGTAATTAAAATTTGAGATATCTAGGAAGTGATATAATAGATGCGGGCTGCTTGATTTAGATGTTGGTATTTGGGATTAGAATAATGTAATATTTTATTTGATTTTCTCTTACAGATGACTTGTTTAAAGTTCACAAGCTTAAGCCAAATCTGAAGTGGCGACAGGCTTTTGACAGCTACTTAAAAACTCTGCCTCCATATTACCTATTAGTATGTATTTATTAACTATCAATGATGATTCTTGTCACAAGAAATGTCAATGGACCAAAAACTTTACCCCTGAAATGAGATAGTTTTTTAAAATATGTTTTGTTGATTTTTTTTAGTGAGAGAGGAAGAGGGAGAGAGATAGAAACACCAATGTGAGAGAGAAACATCAATGTGAGAAACATCAGTCGGCTGCCTCCTGCATGCTCCCTACTGGGGATCGAGCCTACAACCCAGGCATGTGCCCTGACCAGGAATCAAACCAGGACCTCTCAGTCCATGGAATGATGCTCAATCCAATGAGCCACACTGGCCGGGCTAGTTTTTTAATTTATAAATATTTGTGTCACCATTGTCTTCTCAAATTATGTGTAAGAGCTTGGAGATGTCATAGTGACGCAAAAAGAACTGTTTTGTTTATTTCCTTTAGTTGCCATGGTTATTTTTATAAAGCACATCTATATTTCTCTTATTCAAATTAATCTTACAAAATTATCATTTTGGAATTTAGGAAGAATAGGTATGGATTCATATAGTATATCAACTCCCCTTTTTAACTCTAGAAATTCTCAATATGGAGTTTTCCTCTGAAAAAAAATTCTGAAGACATTATATTTACTTATTAACTATTAAATGTGTCCTAGACACAACATGAAGTAGAGGCACTGGTGCAGGGGCAAGGTGGGGAGGGAATCCAAAATGAATAAAATATGATTTGGCCTTATTTGGATTTTTACAAGTTGAGAAACATATTCATGGTGATTTTGAACTGGTCACATAATTTAAATCAAGATTTAGCAAAATAATTTCAGAGGTGAATGTGGTAAACTTTAAGTCAAGTTTCTAGAGGTGAAAAGGCAAAACCATGGTGTCTGGTATCACTGGGAGGAGAAATTGGGGTGTGTTATTATTTACCATGGCAGGAATGGGGTACACAATAAATTGCAATATGAAATAATTTTATGACTTGGGAATTAAGACTGAAAGCAGTTTACCTGTTTTAATTTGTTACTTGCTCTTCTTATCCCACTCTCTTCTGATTTTTTTTTTCTTTCTGCTCCTTCTCTGCTATTTTCATTGCCACTTTTTAATGTTCCATGTTTGGTTTTATGTGCAGCACCTTGACTTCTAAGAAATGAATCATGTTCCTTTGCCCCTTATAACTGAACTTTGAGTATTTTAAGATTTATTCTATTCTTACTGTTGTGTATTTTGTTTCCTTATAGCCATTAAAGAAAGCACTAAGGATGATGGGAGCTCCAAATCTGATATCAGATAATTTAGATTGTGGACTTAGTTACAGTGTTATCTCTTACCTTAAAAAACTCAGCCAACAGGTAGTATTGGTAAAAACAAACAAACAAAAATCCTTTGCCCTCAGAAGTGCATTTCCTTATTCTCTAGTGTAATTGTTAATTTTTCAAATTAAATGTGTATATATTTCTACACTTTATGGATTAGTACTATGTGATTCTCTACGGCTTCTAGCTTCACCATTAAACTACAGTTAAGGGTCTGTCAGTATCATCTGATGCTGCACCATTTCTCCTTTTGCTTGCCAGTTTGTCCTACTCACAAGCTGGTTGATATTTTATGGTCTAAGAGGGGCAGAGGCTTAATAGAATTATTTCATGGGTCACATTTTGTCTATCCTCAATATGGTTTCTCCTGAAATCACATTGGGGTAGAACATCCTGTTCTTTAGGTCAGCACAATGATTTGCCTGAATTTCGATTTTAGGCAGTAAATATCCATATGCTTTTTCTTGGAGAGGAGGAGATAAGACCAGTGTTCCTCATACTAGAGGTTAATAGGCCCCAAGGGGACCTGAGGAGTGGAGTTCTATCTCCCCTATTTTTGCCCTCCATCTATTACTTTATACCCACGCCTCATTTACCATTATTCACCTTGTCCCTTACCTGCCCCTCTCTAATAGTACCTCATCCTCCACTCACCCCTACTTATATCATACTTCTCACTCTACCTAGCGCATTCTTGCAGGATGGAAATGTTTGAGAACTACTGAGTTAGAGCTTTACTGACAGACAAATGTGTTATGTTATATGACCAATTCATTCAGCAGCTTTACTTTCTTATGCACAAATGTATTCCCTGGTAGAGAACAATAGTAGAGTTTGCAGTAACTACAGTGTTTCAAGTTGGATATGTTTGGAGGTTGGGTCTTTGAAAAGCAGAGTATTAAGCAAAAAAGTGGCAGATTTCCCTATAGACCCAAAATGCCTCCACAATTTGGGGTGCTGACACACCTGGCAGGGAGCTGGCAAAAAACTTAAGTATGCTCTGGAGTGTACCAGCTCCCACCAGTCCAGTGTGTTCATAAATGCAAAGGAAGGAGAGGCAAACCCAGATTTCTGGTCTATCAAGTGTCCCCTTAACAACCGTTTTCCTCTCTGCTGATATATTTTAGTTGTTAATGTTTTGGGTTATTTATTTATTTATTTCTCTATTGATTTATATATTTTATTTGATGTTTATCTTAGGCCTTTAAGGCTGTGTCAGCAGAGTGTGGCCACAAGGAAGAATAGTGAACCGAGTTGAAACTCATGCAAGTTCTCAGGCTTTCTGGGACACATGGCTTGTATAGTTTTATACATGAGTTTTCAGGACCATTTATGGAAACAGACCCTTCATTTGCTCTTATCCCTTACTTCATGAGTTAATTTAAAAAAATAAACATACTTAATTCCAGTAATTAGGGAAAATTAATGAATATCTCTAACCAAACCACAAAAAATTCAAAATTATTTTGAGCTTACTGGACATTGGTGGAATTCCATCTTTTACAGTAAAAGAAAAGATCATTACTAATTTTAAATAGCTCTAACTACTAATTTAATAACTATGCCACCAGTGTTTCTTGAACTGTCTCAAATGTATATAAATCACAAAATATGCCCAATATATTGTTACAATACACTTTCAAGCACTATTTATCAATATGATATAATAATGTTTAGTAAAAGGATTTTTGTTGTTATTGTAAGTTAGTAAGAAACATTGAGCACATATTAAAATTATTTACTTGGTAATATTTGTTAAATTAAGCATTAATTTTTGGATGGTTCAATATTAGAACTAAAGAGTGATTTTTTTCAGTTATAATACCAATCTATGTAATCTGAATTTTAGCCCTCGTTTACATTTATAAATACGGAGTCCAAAATGAATATATAATCTAGATTATACAGTAACAAAATGTGATTTTAAATGTCTATGAATGTTATTTTTATCCACGGTTTTCATTCCCTCCATGATTCAATCATAATTTTGAAACAAAACAAGATGAAAAATGTGTCAAGTTATTTGTCTTTCTAGCAACCCCCTCTCTGTTTGCTGTGGTAATACAGGGAAGCACAGGAAAATGTTTAATTACCCGTTTTTCTGTGATTTGCAATAGAAAATTGTTCTGTGGGGTTCTTAAAGTATTATCTTTTTAAAATAGTAAAAATGACAGTGATACTATAGATTTTTTATAACATACTATGTACTTTCATTTTAGACCAAAATAGAATCAGAACGAATTCTAGCATCAGTGGGGAAGAAACCTCCCCAGGAAATTGGAATCAAAGTGAAAAATCATTCTGGAGGTGGTTTGTCTTTGACTCACAGTAAAAATTTTAGAAAACTACTGAAAAAAATCACAGGGGAAACTTCTCCAAGACTGACAGAGCTGAATACCAAAGAATTTGCTGGCTTTCAAGTAGGGTTTTTAAACAAGGTAAATTATGACATAAATAGTTTGTGTTTGAACTTGTCTGACACATTTACGTCTTTCATATTGCTTTAGTTTTGAAATAATAATTGTCCTGGTTTGGACCTTATAGTTATTGATGGACCAGTTTAGGAATTATCCTGCCAGCAGACGGCGATATGGAATTAAATGTACAAGATATGTTTGGGGGTAATGTCTGTGAAAGATAATGGGGAGAAGGAACAGGAGTAAACAAGGATAGCCTGCCTTCAGATTATGTTGCTGATCTAGCTCCTGTGAGAAGAGGGGGCAAGGAAGAAGCAATGATGATGAAGAGCTTCAAACATTGATGTAGCTGGGAGAAAGTCTTGACCAGCCCAGCAGGAATCTCTGGCAACAAGATTTCCCATAGAGGAGGTCTACATTGGGCAGAACTGGCCAGGGCCTAACACCCCCCATAATTCTCAGTCACTGGTAGGGGAAGCCTGGGAAGAGTGTGGCCTCAGCTCAAATGCTGCAGCAGATCCCCAAGCTCAGCTAACTGCACCCTGTCAGGATCAGCCATTGCTTCCTGGAGGGAGATCCTAGTGGCTCACCTCCATGGTGCCACAGGCATACATCTAGATTTTAAGCAGTGGGTCTTCAAGGCTGTCACAGGCGTAAATCTCAGGATTTGATGTTTTAAATGACATCCTTGAAAAAAGAATATTCCCAGTGGCTTTTAATGCTTTTTGAGTGTATTAGAATTCAGAACAAGGCCAGCAAGTATACATTTTCCACTGAGAAAATTCTAGTGTAGTCAATTTTAGTGAATGTAGAGTACTTTACTAAGATTTTAAGAGGGTTAAGAATTATATTTCTATAGTAAAAGCCTCAGGAGTAACTAAAATTATTTGTTTCATTTCAAATAGGATTTGAAACCTCAGACATATAGAAATGCATATGATGTTTCACGTAGAGGTCTTTTAGATCAGTTAACCAGAATGAGATCCAATCTGCTGAAAACACACAAGTTTATTGTTGGACAAGATGAAGGTAAATGAACATAGAAGTCATTTTTGTTGATTAGAAAAATGTCAAGCCTGATGTAAATGAAGGTGTTTATTACATAATGAGTAGGTTATGTTTGTAATATGTTAATGTTTAAAATGCCCATTTTTACTAAATCCCTCTATCCAGACACAAGTTTATTTTTTTCAGGTTTAAGGAAATGTGTACATTAATCCACACTTTTAGATCCTACAAGCCTCCAAATAACCCCATGAAATAGATATTTTATGCCCATTATGTGGATATGAGAACTGAGAGTGAGCATTTTAGTAGTTTGCCTAGGGTTAGTGAGTTGGAAAGTGGCAGAACCTTGGTCTGTCAGATTTTGGAAATTGCATGCCCCAACACTATATCACCCAGACTACTTTGATTAATTCAATCCGTAATTCCTCAGTTACATGAAAATAATGAACCAGATAGTGTCCAAGATCATTGGTGACAGTGTACAATTCCCCTATACTCCATTTTATTCATTTTAAACGGTCACTTTTCTATTTAAATGTGCAAATCCTAGCCCTGCCAATATGGCTCAGTGGTTGAGCATCGACCCATGCACTAAGGTTGCCATTCCGATTCCCAATCAGGGCACATGCCCAGGTTGTGGACCCAGTGCCCAGTGGGGGGCATGCAGGAGGCAGCCAGTCAATGTTCTCTCTCATCGATGCTTCTATCTTTCTCCCCCTCTTTCTTCCTCTCTCTCTAAAATCAATAAAGAAAGAAAAATAAAATAAAATAAATGTGCAAATCCTAGCCTGGCCAACCTCCTGAAATTATACACTAAGTTTTGTGGGAAGGGGATGATTTTTCTATGAAGAGAGCCTGTAGATTTAATCAAGTTCTCCAAGTGGCTGAGACCCACTAACCAAGGTTCTCTGGATGATAAGAGAAAACCATGGAGCCTACGCAATTTAAAACACAGAGCAAATATGGTGTTTTGTGTTGAGATGTTATAAGAGATGTCATTCCATTGTCAAACCTGGTTTGAAGGGTAAGGGAGCTGTTCTTGAACTAGTGATTTGAGCTTGTAGGCAGTAGTGGTGGTAGAGTGGTAATGAGTAAGATGAAAAGAGCCCTGGCCAGTTTGGCTCAGCGGTTAGAGCATCGGCCCATGGACCAGAGAGTCCAGGGTTCGGTTCCCGCAAAGGGCACATACCTCGGTTGCAGTTTGTCCCTGGCCCCGGATGGGATTGTGTGGGTGGAAACCACTCGATGTATCTCTTTCACATCGATGTTTCTCTCTCTCTCTTCCTCCCTCTCTTTCTCCTGATCTGCTGAAGATAAATGCAAAAAAAAAGTCCTCAAGTGAGGATAAAAAAAAAAAAAAAAGATGAAGAGAAATGATTTTAAGTCCTACAATGCTAGATTTGAGCTTTTATTTATTTATTTTTAGGAGAGAGAGAGGAAACCATCAATGTGAGAGAGAAACATTGATCAGCTGCCTCCTGCATGCCCCCTACTGGGGATCAAACCCACAGCCCCCAGTGTGCCCTAACCAGGAATCGAACTGGGACCTTTCAGTCCATGAGATGATGCTCAATCCACTGAGTCACACCCACTGGGCAAGATTTGAGCTTTTAGACTATCTGATGCCAACATACATATTGCTAAGCAGACTATGATCACGTCCTCTCAAAAGGACCATATACTTAAGCTACATAGCATCTGTTTCTTTTATGATGATTTTGCAGATTCCCTTCATAGTGTTCCAGTCGCACAAATGGGCAACTATCAGGAATATCTAAAGACATTGGCTTCTCCACTTCGAGAGATTGATCCAGATCAACCCAAAAGACTGCATACTTTTGGCAATCCCTTTAAACAAGATAAGAAGGTAGGATACTTATTTCTGTGTCTGCCTAAATTGCGTTATTCTTGCTATAATTCATTTCTTCTTGGTGAAATGAATGTAAAGCAGAGATTCTCCTATTAATTTAAAAGATAAAATATGACTCCAGGGCTCCTTGTGAATGGAAAGTGGGAGCCTCCTGATGCAAGTTTGTCCTGGTTGAAGAAAATAATAGCTAACATTTATTGAGTATCTAGTAGGAGCTGGTGTTTGAAATGATCATATTTAATGTTCATAACCATTCTGCAGATGAGTATCACTATCTGTCCTTTAATAAGAAAAAATAAAATTTCATAGTGGTAAAGTGGTTTACCCTAAGTGACACAGCTGCCAAGAGTCAGGATTTAAACCCATATCTTTGTGGATTCAGAGCCTGTATTCATTTCCAACCTCCACATACTAATTAATTTAATATTGAGATCACCATTTATTTCCTCTGTTTTCATTATTCAGATGTCTGGTGCTCTATCTGTATAGTGGTGAAGTGCCCCTCTTAAAATATGAAGTACAAGGAGATGTTGCTTTATTTGGATTGTCCTACTAGAGATCTAAATATGAGGGGTGTGTGTGTGTGAGAGAGAGAGAGAGAGAGAGAGAGAGATTGACTTGACCTGACCATTTAAACATGAAGACAAAGGGGATTGTGTCTGCACTCACAGAGGAGACCATTAAGGTACAGAACATGCAAACATTTCTTCTGTAACAAAACTAGTCTGAAAGGTATTCCACTTCATCCCAATCCTCAAATAATTGGAGTTTTTCTTAGCCTTTATGTGTCTTGGTTTCTTTACTTGCAGCACTGGGGATAATTATTACACCTAACTCAGAGCTCAGTAGAGTACTGAGTTAGTACATCTATACCATTTAGAACATTACCTGATATGTAGTAAATGCTAGTGAATATGTTCCCCCTTTCTATACTGTTTTGCTTTGGAAAAGTCATTTATTATGATATTATTCAAATTATTTTAGCATATATTCTTGGACTATCCTTGGATGAGAACAGAGTTAACTAACCTTCCATACTGCTGGCTATCATCTTTTATCTACCCCGAAGAGTAAAAAGCTGCTTATCTCTATCCAGCACCAAGGTGGACATATTTGAATCTCTGTGTGGTTGCTGTTGGGGGAATTACCATTTTTGTCTCCCTGCCCTTCATCATCTACATGTAGCATTTTGTACAATGATGATTATATTTTCTTAATGATGAATGTAAGGGACAAAAGCACACAAAAAGGGATAATTTCCCTTACCAAGTGTTGATTCAAATGGTTTGCAGTTCTTCATAAAGGTCACTATGTTTATTTCCATATTGGTTCCTGAGAGTTGCTCATTCTTCAAGCTTTCTGGTTAATCATGATTGTATTTTGCTTGATCAACACCTTATATTTTATTTTTTAATTAATTTTTGTTACATATGTTTCTCCTTTCTCCTCCATTGACCCTCTTCCCATTCCCACCCCCCACCCCCATAGCATTGTTGTCTGTGTCCATTGGTTATGCTTATATGCATAAGTTCTTTGGTTTATTTCTTCCCTCCCCCTGACACCTACCTCTGAGTTTTGGCATTCTGAGCCCTACTTCTGTGTCCCTGGGTCTAATTTGTTCATCAGATTATTTTGTTCATTATACTCCACAAATAAGCGATATCATGTGATTGTCTTTCTCTGAATGGCTTATTTTGTTTAGCATAATACTCTCCAGGTCCCTCCATGTCGTCTCAAAGAATAAAAGATCTTTCTTTCTTACAACTGCATAGTATTCCATGGTGTATATGTACCACACCTTTAAAAAAAATTTTTTTTTGTTTCTTTATTGATATTAGAGAGAGAAAGAGAAAGATAGAAACATTGATGACAGAGAACATCAATTGGCTGCCTCCTGCATGCCCCCCACTAGGGATCAGACCCTCAACCTGGGCATGTGCTCTGACTGGGAACTGAACCAGCGACCTCTTGGTGCATGGGTTGATGCTCAAACACTGAGCCACATGGGCTGGGCTGTACCACAGCTTTTTTATCCATTCATCTGTTGATGGACACTTGGCCTGTTTCCAGATCTTAGCTATTGTAAATGGTGCTGCTATGAACATGGGGGTACATATGTTCTTTCTGATTGGTGTTTCAGGCTTCTTAGAGTATATTCCTAGAAGTGGGATCACTGGGTCAAATGGAAGTTCAATTTTTAATTTTTTGAGGAAACACCATATTGTTTTCCATAGTGGCTGCACCAGTCTGCATTCCCAGCAGCAGTGTACTAGAGTCCCCTTTTCTCCACACCCTCGCTAGCACTTGCTGTTTGATAATTTGTTGATGGCAGCCATTCTGGCAGGTGTGAGGTAACACCTCTTAGTCATTTTAATTTGCATCTCTCTGATGATTAGTAACATTGACTATTTTTTCATATGTCTCCTGGCCATTTGTATGTCCTTTTTGGAGAGGTGTCTATTTAGATCCTCTGCCCAGTTTTTTAATTGGGTTCTTTGTCTTTGTTTTGTTGAGTTGTGTGAGCACTCTATATATTTTGGAAATTAACCCCTTATCTGCTGTATTGTTGTCAATTATGCTCTCCCATATAGGGGGTTCCCTTTCCATTTTGATGGTTGTTTCTTTTGCTGTGCATAAGCTTTCTAGTTTTATGTAGTCCCATGTATTCATTTTTTCCTTTGTTTTTCTTGCCTTAAGTGTTGTATCAGTGAAAATTCTGCTACATGTGATATCTGAGACTTTACTACCTACATTTCTTCTAGGATTTTTATGGTTTCATGTGTTACATTTAAGTCTTTTATCCTTTTGTGTTTATTCTTGTGTGTGGTGTAAGTTGGTGCTCTACTTTCATTTTTTTGCTTGTAGCTGTCCCGTTTTTCCAGCACCATTTATTAAAGAGGCTGTCTTTACTCCATTGTATGCTCTTGCCACCTTTGTCAAATATTAATTGAGCATAATGTCTTGGGTCAATTCCTGGGTTCTCTGTTCTGTTCCATTGATCTATATACCTGTTCTTGTGCCTGTACCAGGCTATTTTGATTACAATGGCTGTGTAGTATAACTTGATATCTGGTATTGTGATCCCTCCTACTTTGTTTATCTTTTTTACAATTGCTGTGGGTATTTGGGGTCTTTTTTGGTTCCATATAAACTTTTGGAGTGTTTTTCTACTTCTGTGAAATATGTCATTCCTATTTTGATGAGGATTGCATTAAATCTGTAGATTGCTTTGGGTAGTATAGACATTTTAATGATGTTAATTCTTCTAATCCATGACAAGGTATATACTTCCACTTTTTTATATCTTCCTCTATTTCTTTTTTCAATGCCCCATAGTTTTGTGTGAATAGGTCCTTTACTTCTTTGATTAAGATTATTCCTAGTTATCTGAATTTTTTTGTTGCAATGGTAAATGGAATTTTTTTTTAAGTTTCTCTTTCTGTGTGTTCAGTATTTTTGTGTAAAAATGACAGTGATTTATGGATGTTGGTTTTGTATACTGCTACTGTGCCTAATTTATTTATTAAATCCAGTTTGTTTTTTGTTGTTGTTTTTTTTTTTTTGGTACGTGTCTCTAGCGGAAAACGAACCCAGGACTCTCTGGTCTGCAGGCTGACACTCCAACCACTGAGCCAAACCAGCCAGGGCATAAATCTAGTTGCTTTTTGATGGAGTCTTTAGGGTTTTCTATGTACAATATCATGTCATCTGCAAATAATAACAGTTTCACTTCTTCCTTTCCGATTTGGATCCCTTTATTTTTCTTCTTGTCTGAGTGCTATGGCTAAGATTTCCAGTACCAGGTTAAACAAGAGTGGTGAAAATGGACATCCCTTTCTTGTTCCTGTTCTTAAGGAAAATGCTTTTAGTTTTTGCCATTGAGCATGATGTTGGCTGTAGGTTGTCATGAATGGCCTTTATAATGTTGAGATATGATTCTTCTATTCCCACTTTGCTGAGAGTTTTTATCAAAAATAGATGCTGGATTTTGTCAAATGCCTTTTCAGCATCTGTTGATATGATCACATGATTTTTATCTTTCATTTTGTTTTTGTGGTGTATCACATTTATTGATTTACAAATATTGCACCAGCCTTGCATCCCTGGGATGAATCCCACTTAATTGTGTTGTATAAAGTTTAAAAATATATTGTTGGATTCGATTTCCTAAGCTTTTGTTGAGGATTTTGGCATCTATGTTCATCAGGGATATTGGCCTGTAATTTTCTTTCTTTCTTTCCTTCTTTCTTTCCTTCTTTCTTTCTTTCCTTCTTTCTTTCTTTCTTTCTTTCTTTCTTTCTTTCTTTCTTTCTTTCTTTCTTTCTTTCTTTCATTCTTTCCTTCTTTCTTTCTTTCTCTTTTTCTTTCTTTCCTCTTTCCTTCTTTCTTTCTTTTCTTCCTTTTCCTTCCTTCCTTCCTTCCTTCCTTCCTTCCTTCCTTCCTTCCTTCCTTCCTTCTTTCTTGCCTTCCTTCCTTCTTTCCTTCCTTCTTTCTTTCCTTCTTTCCTTCCTTCCTTCTTTCTTTCCTTCCTTCTTTCCTTCCTTCCTTCTTTCCTTCTTTCCTTCTTTCCTTCCTTCTTTCCTTCCTTCTGTCCTTCTTTCCTTCTTTCCTTCCTTCTGTCTTCTTTCCTTCCTTCTGTCTTCCTTCCTTCCTTCCTTCCTTCCTTCCTTCCTTCCTTCCTTCCTTCCTTCCTTCCTTCCTTCCTTCCTTCATGTCCCTAGCAGGAACCAAACTTGGGACTCTCTGGTCCACAGGCCGACACTCCAACCGCTGAGCCAAACCGTCCAGGGCTGTAATTTAGTGTCTTTATCTGGTTTGGGGATTAGAATTATGCTGGCCTCATAAAAAGACCTTGAACATTTTTCTTACTCTTGAATTTTTTGGAATAGTTTGAGGGAAATGGGTGTTCTTCTTTGAATGTTTGGCAAAACTACCCTGTGTAGATGTCTGGACCAGGGCTTTTGTTTGCTAAGATTTTATTGATTACTTCTTCTATTTCCTTAATTGTTATTGGTCTGTTTAGGTTTTCCGACTCTTCCCAGTTGAGTTTTTGAATGTATATGATTCTAAGAATATGTCCATTTTGCCTAGGTTGTTGAATGTGTTAGCATATAATTGTTCATAGTATTATTTTTATAATCCTTTGTATTTCTTTGTTGTCCATTGTTACTTCACCTCTTTCACTTCTGATTTTATTAATTTAGGTTCTCTCTCTTTGTTTCTTGGTGAGTCTGGCTAAAGGTTGATCAATCTTTATTATCTTTTAAAGAACCAAGCTCTTGGTTTCAGTGATCTTTTGTATTGTTTTTATATTCTCTATATTACTTATTTCTGCTCTGATTTTTATTATTTCCTTACTTCTACTAAGTCTGGGTTTTTCTTTTGGTTCTCTTTCTAAATCTTTTAAGTTGTTGGCTTAGATAGTTTATTGGAAATTTTTCTTCTTTCTTGAGGTAGGCCTGTATTGCTGTGAATTTTTCTCTCAGGACTGATTTGCTGTGTCCCATAGATTTTGTATTGTTGTGTGTTTATTTTCATTAGTTTTCAGAAAGTTTTTTATTTCTTTCTTGATCTCATTGGTAATCCACTCATTGTTTAATAACATGCTATTTAGCCTCCATGTCTTTTAAAGTATTTGAGTGTTTTATTGTAATTGGTTTCTAGTTTCATGCCTTTATAATCTGAGAAGATGCTTGATATGATTTCAATCTTCTTGAATTTGTAGAGACTTAGTTTGTGTCCTAACATGTGGTCTATCTTTGAGAATGTCCCGTGTGTACTTGAGAAGAATGTATATTCTGCAGCTTTGGGTTGAAATGTTCTGTAAATATCAATTCAGTCTAACAGATCTAGTTCATCATTTAAGGACTCTGTTTTCTTATTAATTTTTTCTCTAGAAGGTCTATCTAGTGGTGTCAGTGGGGTGTTAAAGTCACCCACTATGATTGTATTAGTATTGATCTCTTGCTCGTAGTCCTCCAGAAGTTTTTAAATATATTTTGGTGCTCTCAGGTTTGGTGCATATATGTTTACCAGGGTTATATCCTCTTGTTGGATTGATTCTTTTAATATTAAGTAGTGACCTTCTTTGTCTCTTATTATGCCCCTGGGTTTGAAGTCTATCTTATCTTATCAAATATGGCTATTGCTATGCCAGCTTTTTTTTTTTTCATTTCCATTTGCCTGGGAAATTTTTTTCTATCCTTTCACTTTCATGAGTCTTTTGTTGTGAAGTGGGTCTCTTGTAGACAGCATAAATGTGGGTCATATTTTCTTATCCAATCAGCTATCCTATGTCTTTGATTGGAGCATTTAAGCCATTTACATTTAAGGTTATTATTTATAGGTACTTATTAGTTGCCATTTTATTGTATGCCTGTGTTCCTCTCTCTCTATTTCTTCTTCTCCTTATAATAGTTCCTTTAGCTTTTCTTGTAGTGTTGGTTTGGTCATGGTAAATTCCTTCCGTTTTTTGTTAGTTTGTTTTTTGTTTATTTTGTCTGTGAAGCTCTTTATGTCTCCTTCAATTTTGAATAATAGTCTTGGATTCAGACCCTTGCCTTTCATTACTTTGTGTATTTCATGCCACTCCCTTCTGGCTTGCAGTGTTTCTATTGAGAAATGAGCTGACAGTCTAATGGGAGCTCCCTTGTAGTTAACTTTCTCTCTCTTGCTGCCTTTAAGCTTCTTTCTTTGTGTTTAATGTTTGCCATTTTAATTGTGATGTGTCTAGCTGTGAGTCTTTTTGGGTTCTTCTTACTTGGGACTCTATGTTTCCTGGATTTGTGTGACTTTTTCCTTCACCAAATTAAGGAAGTTTTCTGTCATTATTTTTTCAAACAGGTTCTCCATTCCTTTCTCCGATTTTCTCATTCTGGTACTCCTATGATGCGAATGTTGTTATGTTTCGATTGTCCCAAAGCTCCCTTAAACTCTCCTCCTGCTTTTTAATTTTTTTCTCATTTCCTGCTTTATTTGGGTATATTTCTCTACCTTGTGTTCTGACTCACTGATTTGGTCTTCAGCTTCTTCTAATCTACTACTGAATCCTTCTAAAGTATTTTTTGTGTCAGCTATGTCATTCTTTATTTCCACTTGATTTTTATGCAGAGCTTCTACCTCTTTATTTATGCTGATGTAGCTCTCACTGAGCTCTTATAATTTTCATTAAGTTGCTTGTAGTTCTCACCAAATTGTTTGAGCCCCCTTAAAATCATTGCTTTGAATTCTTTATCTGACAACTTGCTTCCTTGCATGTCCTGTAGTTCCTTTTGTGGTGATTCCTCCTTTTCTTTCATTTGGGTGTTGTTTTCTTCGTCTCACCATTTTAGCAATCTGGTAGTTCTAGGCCTGGTGAGCGATGTTGGGATGTATAGGCAGGTCAGTGTGTATCAAATAAGGCTGCTGTGCCTACCAGACTGTTTTGGTGCTTGGTGCCTCTTGCCTCCTGTGGGTACTGGAGAATTGACATGTAGTGACTGGTATCGGTCTGTTGTGGTAGGCATTGCTGGAGTGCATGGGTTCAGCTGGTGCTCTGTTGGGGTGCACTGTTGCCTGGTGGGGCTCAGCTTCTGATCAATCACTGCTAATGCTGCTGGGAGCATGTGTCAGCTCCCAGTTTGAGCTGCTACTGCTGCTACTGTTGCCAGGTGGTGTTCTCAGCTCCCAATCCTCTGGTGCTGTTGGGGGCTGAGGGTGCTCAGCTCCCGGGACTTTGCTGCTACTGGTGGAGGGGCTCCACTGCAAATCTGCTGCTGTGGTTGTAAGGGACAATTCTCGGGTGCCCGACCCTTGTTGCTGCTTGGGCTGGGGCACTGCTCCTGATCACCTCTGCTGGTGCTGCTGGGGATGGATCTCAGCTGCTGATCTACACTGCTGCTGCCTGGGGATAGATGTCTGTTCCAGAGCCTATGTCCTGTGGGTGTGTCTTGGCTCCAGAGCCTCAGCTGCTGTTGGAGGTAGGGCTTCACTCACGCCTAGTCACTGCTGCTTTGTGGAAGGTTTTGGGTTCCCATGTTGGGCTACTGTTGCTGGTGGTGGTGCTCAGCTCTGATCAGGCTGCTGCTATTGAGGGTGTTGCTCTGCTCCCGAGCTGGTGCTACTGCAGCTGCCATGGGGAATGGTGCTCGGCTCCTGACTGGTTGCTGCTTCCGCAAGCAGGTACCTTGACAGTACCTCTACTGTGCACTGGTCCGCATTGACACAGCAGGGTTCACTGGTCCGATGGTGTAAGGTACACTGGTGGACTCAGGTTGTTCAACCCTAGCTGCTCCCCAGTGTCTCCTCCCTGAGAAGTCCAACGGATCTTCCAAAATGACAGGACCTTCTGGCCACACTGGGAAAAGCATCCTGACAAGCCACTTACTGTGGTAGCTGGGTACTCCCTAGTTCACAGCACTGGAACCCTCTGTCCCACGTTTCTGCACTGCTCAAGGTTGCTCGTCCACACACGTCCACTCACTCTCTCTCTCACACTCGCTTACACTCTCACACAGTCACCCTCGCTTCGGTCCTGCCCACAGCCATCTTTTTCATCCATCAACACCTTATATTTTAATTTCTTCCTTGTTTCATTTAGACTGGATTAAAATTGAGTAGCATTTTTTCAGAACAGTCAGTGTGGGGCATAAAATTTTGACCCATGATTAAGACCTATAATGATGATGTAATGCATATGAAGTGTGCTTCCAGTGTTGTCTTTAATGGACTATGTTCATTGATTTTTTTAGGGAATGATGATTGATGAAGCAGATGAATTTGTAACAGGACCACAAAACAAAGTGAAACGTCCTGGAGAACCCAACAGCCCTCTGTCATCTAAGAGAAGGCGGAGTATGTCCCTGCTGTTGAGGAAACCACAAACACCACCTACTGTAACTAACCATGTGGGCAGAAAGGGACCACCCTCAGCCTTGTGGTTCCCATCTTATCCAAACCTCATAAAACCCACTCTTGTACATACAGGTATAGAGTAGTGGTTGTGCTTTCCTTATGGCTCCTAGAGGACTAAGACAGTAAACAGTTTTATTTTTCTTTGTATTCATTTCTTTCATATTCAGTTTCCTTTATTAAGGAAACCAAAATGAAATCATCAATGTGGTAGGTACAGAGGGCCCAGGGGAAATAGATACCCTGTTTAAAAGACCTCAATTTCTATGAGGGGGGAAGATCCATACTTACATAGTAATTAACAAAAAAAATGGAGAATTGGAGAGATATGAGCATGTTTGTCTTGCCAGGGCAAGGCATAATGAGGTGCAAATATTTGGAGTTGCTGCTTGAGTCAGAGTTATAGAGCAGGTTCCTGAGGCACTAGGAGCAAATGGACACAATAAGAAGATGGATGTGCACTTGCTCTCTATGTCCCCATCTTCTCTTTATGCTTTAACCCAGTGCAGTCTGGCTCTGCTTCCTCCACTCCACTGAAACAGATCTCATCAAGGGTCACTGTATCTGCTGCACATTGCCATTATTTCTTAGCATCATTTGACACAGTTGTTCACTCTCTCCTTCATGGAAACTTTCTTGGGTTCCCAGATACCACCATCTCCTGGGTTTTTCCTCATTTCATAACAACTTTTCATTCTCTTTTCTGGTTTCTCCCCTTCTTTCCAACCTCTAAATAGTGTAGGGACTCAAAGCTAGATTCTGGATCCTCTCCTCTTCACTGCACTCACTCTCTAAGTGATCCCATGCAGTGTCATGGCTTTAAATAAGATTTACATTTCAACAACTCAGATATTTATACCTCTAGACTACAACTTGCTCCAAACCCCAGACTCATAATTAACTGTGGACACCGTGTCACCACTTAGGTGACTAATGGACATATAAAACTCGGTAGGTTTTGCTTGTTTCACTGAACAGCTGAAATTCCTTCTTTCTGAAACATCTCTATTTACAGCCTTCCCCAGGGCAGTTAAGGACACCATCCAGCAGTGTGTTGGTAAAGTTGTGACAGCTGGCTCTCCATGGGTGCAGGGGTTGTGAGGGTGGAGAAGCCCTGGATCACAGCATTTGCAGATTCCTACAGTGTAAATAATGCCAACATTATCGATGTCAAGCTAGCAATGTCAGGTCACTGAACAAGATCAGGAAGAGATGCACACAATCCACTCTAATGGGCAGTTGTGTACCAGCACCTGCACACTGCTGGCATTATTTATCCAGTGGTTCAGGTGAAAAACCATAGAGACACCACAATTTCTCCTTTATTACTCTCACTTCAGTGCATGAGCAAGTCTAGGCAACTTGACAACCAATATAATTATTGCATCCCACATTTCTCTCTGTCCCTCAGTCTATGGTGCCATCATCTGTCTGTCACCAAGCTACTACAATAGCTTCTTATTTGATTACCAGGCTGCCCATCTTCTCCTTGTCTAACCTATTTCTGCCAGAGTGATCGTGTCAACATGGAAATTAGATCATGCCATATTCATTCCTGAAAACTCAATAATATCAACTTTCCTATGCACTCACAAGAGAACGTGTTCTCCTTACTCTAGTCTACAAAATCTTCACGACCTGGCCCTGCTGTCCTCTTTTTTTTTTTTTTTTTTTAATTGAATTTATTGGAGTGACATTGGTTAATAAAATTCCATGGGTTTCTACAATTCTATAATACATTGTCTGTATATTGTTTTGTGTTTATCACCTCAAGTCACGTCTCCTTCAATCACCATTTATCCCCCCTTATACTCTCTTCCAGCCATCCTCTCAACACATGTCCTATCTGTGTCCTCCTTGCTTTCTCTGCCTCTGTCCTTTACTCGATGGTCCTGGCTCAAACCTTCCTAGGGGCCCTGCACTTGCCCTTACCACAGCTTGGAACCTCCTCTGCATGTGCACAGGGCAGGCTCTTTGTACTCCTACAGCCTCTGCCCAAAGGACACCTCCTCAGAAGGCCTTGCCCAACCACCCTGTCCATTGAGGATCCCCTTTCTGCTCTCTGTCACATCCCTGCTTACTTCTCCTTAACTTAAATTCAAACTCATCATTTCATTTTCTCATTGTGCCCTTACTGTCTGACTTCCCATGAGAATGTAGGTTCCATAAGGGTAGGGATTATTTCTGTCTGTCTTGTTCACTGTTTATCCCCATCTCCTGGCATGGTGCCTGGCACAGGGGAGAATGAGAAAATGAAGTAGGGGTGACATACTTTTAGTAAAAATAAATTCACTTTTCTGAAACAGAAAAAATAGATGAGTAAGATGATATACTGACTGGGATTTTTTATTATGGAGTGCATATAGAGCCTTTACACCAAACAGCCACCTCTGTTTTCTCAGATCTGTTGAGGTTGAGAGGAGGGAGGATGAAAGGGACCCACATAATCTGATGTCAAGCTTAGTAAAGCATGGTATGTTATAGGTGAATTATAGAAATCATGACATCAAGTGAAACTTGCTGCTTTTCAGCTTGTAAAGCATAAGCTGCGACTAAACCATGAGTGCCAGAGGTCTGAGAATATTTATTAGTTGTACTGTTTTAGTTTCCATATGTATTCATAGTGCCATGAAGAAAAGAAAGTGGTTTACTTGTGTTATCTTCCTGAGCTCAACTGGAGGGGTCTCAGACTCCATCTTGTAACATCTTCTTGCTTTATGAAAAAAAACAATTTCCTCATAACTGAGAAGCACTGGGATCCACCTGTGGAGCTGATATAATGCACCTACCTCACAGCTCAGCTTCTTAATTTGGTTTCCAGATGCTACTGTTACTCATGATGTCCATGAGGAGAAGATGGAAAATGGTCAAATCCCACCTGATGGGTTCTTGTCAAAATCTGCGGCACCAGAGTTTATGAATATGACAGGAGATGGTATTCCATCCAACCAATTGGATTCTCTATCTGATGACTTTACTAGTCTAAGAAAAGATGACTTGATTAACAAACCTGGTAGTAATGCACTTGTTGGAAGAATCAAAAACTGCAGTGTCTCTGCAGATGACCAAAAAGTCTCAGTATCATCTTTTGAAACTGTGCCAAATACATTGCAAATAACTCCTGCTATGGCACAAGGAATCAATGCTGATATAAAACATCAGTTAATGAAGGAAGTTCGAAAATTTGGACGAAGTAAGTAGTGAAAGAATATCCTTGAATCATATGAGAAGTCCCTCTTGTTGTATAATTCAGAATAGATTCAGGCTCTCTCTTGACGTGCATTTTGGGGAGGCATTGGGTTTTCACAAAATTTAAAGTGATTCCTCATGCTTTAACTGAAAAGATCAAATACAGTTTTCTCTCTTTCCCCCCGTTATTGTAATAGTTTTCTTTTGCTGCTATACCATGTCACTATAAACTTTGTGGCTTAAAACTATATTATTTTATGGTTGTGGAAGTCAGAATTCTGAAATGATTGCCACTGGGCTAACATGAAGGTGTTGGAAGACCAGCATTCCTTCTGGAGGGTCTGGAGAGAATCTGTTTCCTTGCCTGTTCCTACTTCTATTGGCTGCCTGTGTTCCTTAGATCATGATCCCTTCCTCCACCTTCAAACCAGCAATGTTAGCACTTTCTCTCCTCTCTAACCTCTGCTCCCATCCTTACATCTTTTCTCTCTGATTCTGACTCTACTGCCTCTCTTTTAATTATTTATTTTTTTATCCTAACCCGAGGACATTTTTTTATATTTTGTTCAGATAGAGTGGGAGGGAGAGAGAGAGAGAGAAACATCGACGTGAAAGGGACACATCGAGTGGTCGCCACCCACACGACCCAACCAGGGCCAGGGACAAACTGCAACCAAGGTACGTGCCCTTAGTGGGAACCGAACCCGGGTCTCTCCAGACCGCAGGCCAACGCTCCAATTGCTGAGCCAAACTGGCCAGGGCATACTGCCTCTCTTTTAGAAGGATATTTGTGATTATCTGGGCCTACATGCACAAACCTGGGTAATCTCATCTCAAGATCCATAATAATTACATCTGCAAAATAAAGTCCCTTTTGCTATGTAAGGTAACATATTCACAGGTTTGGGGGTTAGGACATGGACAGTGCTGGGGACCATTATTCAGCCTACCACTTTGGTCAGTGTTTGCAAATGTTTCCTCAGTAGATATGTGCACATGTTTTGATTTGAGTGTTTAAAACACAAACTATATGTAACTTTCCACCCATGAAGAATGATTACTGAGAATGTATAAAGATTGAATTTTCTTTCCCATTTGTATTTTTTAAAATACTGACGTTTTTTTAAAAATATCTTCAGAGTATGAAAGAATTTTCATTTTGCTCGAAGGAGTACAAGGACCTCTTGCAGTCAAGAAACAATTTGTTGAATTCACCATCAAGGAAGCTGCAAGGTGGGTGTAAAGAGGAGCTCGTTTTTTTTTTAAGTACTAGGGCCCAATGCAAGACAGGGGGAGGAATAGGCTCTGCTGTGTTTTGCTCAAACCCCCGCCCTCACTCATAGTTGAAGCTGTCTCCAGAAGCATTTCGATATTATCTGAATTAACTAATTCACCCAACTCTATGGAGCCTTGTAGGCTCACAGCTGTCTAAGGTGGGTTTGGCCCCTCAAGTGGCACTGTTAGTATTTGCTAAACCCTATCTTTACATGAGGATATGTTTCTGTTCTATGTTAATTGTCAGTTCCAACTGTACCCGGCACAGTGCCTTGCATATCATAGTGCTTTAAGTATCTTTTAGTTAATAACATTTCTCTTTATTTTTAGGTTTAAAAGACGAGTCTTAATCCAGTACCTTGAGAAGGTGCTAGAAAAAATAGATCCCTACCACCTTCTCAACAATGTTAATCACGTCAACAGCAGGTCATCATGTTAATGCAAAGACCAAGGAGAAAAAAAAAGACATGTTTTCTGTGCTATAGGATGGAACAGGATATCATTGAAGCTTCCTGGAATGTTTTAGCCAAGGGAATTGCCTTCCAGAAGCCAAGAAAAAGTAGTGAAGATTTTTTTTTTTTTTTTAGGATTTTCTGACAGTAAAAAAGTATTAATTTGTTTTGTTTGTTTTTTTTCTTTTCACAATTGCGGAAGGTAATGCTGTTAATGCAGCAGGTTAAATTTAATAAACACTATTGCCCCTTCCACAGGTGATAAAGGTTCACTCATCTGGGCATTTCCAGACTGACTAGGGCCCACCTGCAAGTGGAGCACTACTTGGTGCTCTTACTATGTCCTTTAGAAATAATAGATGTTCAGAATCCAACTGGTAATCTGGTGTGTGCTGAACAATGTTTTCAACCATTTCCAGCTGTGCCTTTTAAACCATGACATATTCATTACAGTTTGAATCAAAGAGTAAGAAAGCTGCTATTGGGATAACATTTCTCTGTGGGAGTGGGACAGGGAGAGTCATCAAACAGTCTACCTCCAACTCTCTTCTATTTTGTCTAGAGACATTACAAAGTGCGTCTGAGGCTGCCCCAACCTGACATTTGTTCTTGCATGTGATGACAGAAAGTCTTCAGGTGGACTTGTATATTTTGTGCTTTGAAAGCACTAAAGGGAAAATGATGTATATATTTTCTTTCATGTTTATACAAAGGTTTATATGGAGCAGTATTGTTATGTTTGTATTAATATTCAAAAATTATGCATACAAAGAGATTTTGACTTTGAATATATGAAATAAATCATTTTATTGATTCTCACAAGTTAATACTAAGAGAAATTTCTAGTTTTGTCTTGTTATTTGTTATTCTTTTCAGAAGAAATGTACACACAGTTCAATTAAGATATTAATATAAGGATTTAAATTTCAAAATGTCACTCACAGAACTGAATGATGGGGAAAATGGTGGAGTAGGGTACTCTGGAGGTCAATCCTTCTCCAAAAATACTAAAAACCCAGGGTGGGATTGAATGGTCAAAATCAAGTTTATTGGAACTCTGGAAGATAGTCAAAAGTTTATAGCAACCAAGCAAATGCTGAATCAGGAGAAAAGTCATTGACACATGATAGGAGAGTTTAGTGGCATTTTAACTTATTCTTGCCCCATTTCTCTCCCTGGTATAGCAGTAGTCTTGAAGATAGCAGCCTGCATTCCAAGTGTGGGTTCCTGGTTCTGGAGAGAGGAGAGTAGACCTTATTCCCAAGGAATCGCATTTGTCTGTTCGAACCTATCTGGGGGGCTCCCTTAAGATCTGACACAAGGGGGTTGATTGCTTTTGTTTCACCTAACTCCACAATCTCTCGAGGTGGAAAATCAGCTATGTGGAGAATGGTCCTGAAAAATATTGAAATGTAAGTGAACAACCTGCTTCTGTGTATGAAAAACACTAGACATGCCAAAATGCTGGGAGGGAAAACTGAGGAGAGAGAGACTTTGGAGAATAAGGGCTTTAAAATATTCTTGTGTATACTTGGGCATCTAGAAAACCAGGTGCATGACCTGGGCAAAACTCAAGAGTCAGAAGAGACCTGAGAAGACCATATAATTTTATTTCTGCCTCATCTTTAGGATTAGCACAGTGATAGATAAAACAAGTTGTCAGAGGATCAATAAAGAAATAGAGGACTTGAACAACACTATAAACCAATTATATGTAATAGATACCTACAGAACACCCCACCCAACAACAGCAGAGTACATTCTTCTCAAGTGCTCACAGAGTATTCTCAAGAACAGACCATATATGAAGCCACAAAATAAGTTAATACATTTTTAAAGATTGAAACCATGCAACGTAATTTCTTTGCCATAGTGGAGTCAACTAGAAATCAATAACAGAAGTTGAACTTTCACCTCATACCATATACAAAAATTAACTAAAAATGAACCAATACCTAACTATATATGAGCTTAACATCATAAAAATCTTAGAAAGAAACTTTAGAGTAAATCTTTGTGACCTTGGATTTAAAATATGACAAAAGCGCAAGCAACAAAAGAAAAATATAAATAGACCATCAAAATTAAAAGTTTAGTACATCAAAGAACTCTATTGGAGAATAAATAACCCATAGGATGAGAGAATATTTGCAAAGCATACATCTGATAAGATTCTAGTGCCCATAATATAAAAAGAATTTGAAAAGACAATCACTAAAGAACATATACAGATGGTGTAGAAAGCACGTGAAAAGATGCTCAATGTCATTAGTCATTAGGGACATGCAACTCTAAACCATGATAAGATACCACTTCACACCTACTAGGATGGTAATAATCAAAAGAAAAAGAAAAATAACTAGTGTTGGGACCCTCGTACTGGGAATGAAGTACTGATACATACTACGACATGCATGAACATCAAAAGCATTATGCTAAGTGAAAGAAGCCAGACAAAACAGAGCACAGATTATAAAATTCAATTTATATGAAATATCAAGAACTTGAAAATCCATAGACAAAAAGTAAATAATTGTTTGCAGGGGGCTGGGAAGAGGGGGAAATGGGGAATGAGTGCTAATGGAGCTTCCTTTTAAGATAGTGAAAACAGCCCTGACCAGTTTTGCTCAGTAGTTAGAGCGTCGGCCTGCAGTCCAGAGAGACCCGGGTTTGGTTCCCACTAAGGGCATGTACCTCAGTTGTGGTTTGTCCCCGGCCCTGGTTGGGTCGTGTGGGTGGCAACCACTCGATGTGTCCCTTTCACATCAATGTCTCTCTCTCTCTCTCTGAACAAAAAATGGAAAAATATCCTCCGTGAGGATAAAAAAAAAAGATTGTGAAAACATTCTAGAACCAGATAGTTTTGTGGTGATTTCACAACATTATGAATGTACTTTAGGTTATTGAATTATACATTTTTGAAAGGTAAATTTATGTGTTATTTACAACAACAAAATTCTCCAGAGAAGTCCAGCTGCCATCTGAAGCCACTTTACACCAAATGGAGCAGAATGATTGCTCATCTCAACCTTGCTCAAATTCCTGGCATACAAAATTATGAGATGTAATAATGTTTGTTTTTTTTATCACTGACTTCTGGTTTCCAGACCTGCATGTAAGGAGCTTGGAAGTCTCCACTCCATCTCAATGACAAATAAAAGGCTGCACAGACTAAAAAATCAACTCTTCTTAGGTCTGTAAGAGAAGAGAGGGCACATGGTAAACCATTATCCCAATATTGGAGAGACAAACAGACAACAGGGAGTTATGGCTTACTGAAACAGAGACTCATTGCTGGAAGCCACCATGTAAACTTGTGCTGTGGTAGGAAAACCTGAACTAGAAGTGACAAATTGCTGGATGCTCAAGTGTGGACAAGTCTGAGAGAAAAACCAGCTTTTAGTTATCAAGATGTCAGTTTTTCCCAACTTGATTATATATTCAATGCAATCAAAATCAAAATCCCAGCAGTTCTGCATCTCATGTGGCTTCTCCAGAGACTGGCTGGTTCAAGGCATGGTAACCAGCATCGCTTCACGGCCAGCAACTTCCATTACACCTTCCTTGGGCAATACTATATCTGATTGCTTCTGGTGAGACACTTCCCTGAGTACAAAATTCCTAGACATTTTAGAGGCAGATTTCCAGCAACTTTCAGAGGGCAGATTTCTAGAATGTTCCACTGAGACAATGACAACCTTATTGACATTCTTTGAGTTTCCGCCAAGCTCCTCCAACAAAGTGAGAATTTCAACATTGGGGGTGAGGATATTTTTCTTTGAGTTCTCTATCTCCTGTGTGGGATACTCGAGTACTTTATTTCAGCCCTGTGGTGAGGAGCTCTCTCCAGTGCACTCTATCTCAGCCATGCTTTGGAAGGGACCTTTCCTTGGGTGAACTTTGTCAGCCCTGGGCAAAGGATCAAAAATTCTCTGCCGTCCATCGAATCTCACCTGGGTCTCTCCAGAAAGATCTAGACTTCAACTCTTGTGTGTGGGGGTGGGGGTGGGGGTTCCTTGTATGCTTGCTCTAAACCTATGGAGAACTTCCACTGGTCATCAAGCTCAATATGAATGTGGTGACTCTTCCTGGGAGAAGTTACTCACATGGGCACATTACCTCAACCCTGCAGTGGGTGGTTCCTCTTGGGCTCTCTCATGTCTGGGGGAGGGGGGGAGGGCTATTTCTGAAGTGCTCTATCTCAGCCAGCCTAGGAAATAAGCTTTCTATAGCTGGTCTCTTTCAGTACTAAGGGATGATATTATCTTGGGCACTTGATTTCAGCCCTGGGGAGGGATCATTTCCTTGGGTGCATGATTTCAAACCTGGAGGGAGTCTAACTCAGATGTTCTTTTTTTAAAAAAAAATGTTTTTTGAGTACAGCTAACATTCAACATTATATATTAGGTTTAGGTGTATAGCATAGTGGTTAGACATTTATAAAATTTATTAAGTGATCTCCACCTGACACCACAAGTATTATATGCTGTATTTCCTATGCTAAATTTATATTCCCATGACTATGGTGCATCTGCTTATTTGTACTTCTTAATCCCTTCATTTTCACCTAGCCCTCCAATACTTCCCATCTGTATCTGAGTTTGTTTCTGTTTTATTTTTTCCAATTTTTTACTAATTTATTTTTGTTACAGATGTTTCTTCTTTTTACCCCTAGACAACCTCCTCCCCATTCCCCACCACCACCACCATACCGGCATTGTTGTCTATGTCCATTGGTTATGCATACATGCATCTCATCGATTCCCCCGCCACCCTACTCTGAGGTTTGTCAGTCTGAACCATACTCCTTTCTATGTCTCTGGGTTTCTTTCATTCATCAGCCCATCTTGTTCATCATATTCCACAAATAAGTGAGATCATGTGGTATTTGTCTTTCTCTGATTGGCGTATTTCAATTAGCATAATAATCTGGAGGAGCCTCCATGTCGTCTCAAAATGTAAAAGATTTTTTTTTCTTACAGCTGCATAGTATTCCATTGTATATATGTACCACATCTTTTTAAAACTACATTTATTTTTATTAATTTATTTTTGTTACAGATGTTTCTCTT